TATTTCAGTGTTTCACTTAGATGACATAGTCCTTAGACAGAAATGGGACATTCCTGTTTCCACCTTTCCCAGAGGCCCTATTGACTTATTGGCCAGAATGGTACCATATATCTTTTTTAGAATTAACTGGTAACTAAGATAGAATATTACATAAGCTTAATCCAGCACTGGTCCATACAATCTGGGGGCTGTGACCTCCTTTTAGGAATCTAAAATCATTATTTTTCCTAGTAATGCTAAGATAGTACATGTCTTTTCCCATGTACTGAAAACACAGAAGTAGCGATGGTGGCTAGCTCTGCCAGTAGTTTAACACCAATTGAAGGAGAGGCACCAAAAGGTACAGCAGTGGTATTCTTCACTGCCAGGAACTCATATGAAGTTTTACCTTTTGACTGGTTTTTTACCTGGTAAATGCCGAAGTGCTTTAGTTATCTCTGTTTCAGTATACCTGGTGTCATTGTTTGGATTTTGAGCTGAAATGTCCACTTTTTTCATGAAACTTTTATTTTTGTTTTTGTTTTTTACCCAAAAGACTGACAAATGATATGGTTATTTGGACTTGGATATTTTGCAGACTTTTTCTTGAAAGTGAACAAAGTTAGCCTGTCATTTCAAGGAAAACAACTGACAGTATTTGTTGCAAATGATAAAATTCAAGCTTTCAGATGAAAATTAAGATGTTGGAGAACTTGTATCCACCACTGTGAGCTTGACAGCTTTATAAGACTTAAAAGAGTTTTCTGATGAGATGATGAGTTTGGTGGTGATATTAACACAAGTGGTTTATTTACTTTTTTAACATGATATGGTGAAGTATGCCATCTTTGGAAAGTTCTGTGTATCTAACTGAACCAATATTTTCCCAATGACTGACGGTTAATACAAATTCATGCATAGGTAAAATGATCCATTTTAAAGAGCAAAATAGACCAAAAAATTAAGAATAACATAGTACAAAATTTCACTGATCTATTCCATGTTCTACATTGCAAATAACCAACAAGAAACTTTTTTTTTTCAGTTTTAGTGTAGTATCAAAGAAGAATATCCAAAATTATCTGGAAAAAAATTAAAATATTTCTTCACTTCAACTATGTATTTGTATGAGACTGGATTTTTCTCCCTATTTCTCTGTTTCTCTCTGAGAAAGAGATCAAAACAACAGATTGAGACCAAAACAACATATTGGATACAGAATCAGATAATGAGAATCCATGTCTTCAATTAAAAAGACAAATAATTTTTCTTATTTTGAAAACCATAGTTATTTTTCTTAAAATTTATTCATAAAATACATAATGAGTTGGTTATTTTTATTTTTAAATCGAGTATTTTTAAATGATCTGATTTTTAGTTTCTAAAATGGTAAATATTGATGGATATGACTCACATAACCAAATCCACTTTATAGTCCTCAGCAGTCTTGAAGAATGTGTCCTGAAACCAGAATGTTTGAGAACTACCTAGTTTAGACTAATTAAAGATATGCCATTTGGAGCTTGGCTTTGGCCTTCCCCATGGACATAATTTTCTGTTGTCTCAATAAAATCAGGACTCTTTGGCTAAGAAAAAGCAGGAGGGGTGGCAAATGGCTTGGTGTAACAACAATCATCTGCCACAGCTGAAGTGAAGGAGAATTTTTCCAGCACCATTTGGCAATCAATAAGCTTGTGGGATCTTTGGGAAATGTTGGCAAAGTCTCAGATCTCAGGAACAAAGAAGACTTCACATGCCAAGCTCTCCTGTATTACCAGATTCTAGAAGACTTCCTTTAAAAGATGCACTTAGAAAGTGGACGGGGTAGTTAGTTGTCTTTGATGCCTGTTGGGAATTAACCTGTCTTTGGTCGGGCTCTCAAAAGCAATGATGATTTTTCTCCTAGGTTGCAGGAGTTTTGATAAATGATAAAATTCACACTTTGAAATGATAAAATTCAAGCTTTCTTTCCCAGGGAGCACAACACACTGAGATTCCATACACCTGCCTCTGTACTGTACCAGCTGTAGGTCCCAACTATACCTGGATTCACCTCCAGGCGCCACAAGTCAGCCAAGGTTGTTTTGTGTGATGAATTGGCAATTATTCAAGAAAATTATTATAATGACTATAAAGGGAACAGACAGAAGTAGACTTAAACAATATCTGTATGAGATCAGAGAGAGTAATAGTGGTAAAGAAAACAGAGATATGTAAGGACCCTGTGGGGACACAATAGGAGCTATAGGATTAAGGTCTAAAACAAGGACTTCTCCTTTAAACATGTTGAATTTAATATCCCTAGAGGTCTATAGCATCCACTAGGTAGTTGGAAATATGGTCTGACCTTTAAAAGAGAGATTGGGTTTAGAATGCAGATTTTTGTAATGTTCAATATAAAGGACATAGTTGAAGCTGTAGATATGTTTCCACCTGAGAGATAATCTGAAGTGATAAGGCAGTCTCAGGTATTTAGGAAAAGGAGATTGGAAAAATGAATTAAGCAGAACCAGAACATTTTATTGAAGATGTTAAAAAGAGAGAATCCACAAGGAGAATGTCATCTTACAATGCAGGAAGAAAATTGTGAAAGTTAGTAAGACTTGACAAGTAAAAAGTCAATGACGACTTTTAAAGAGTAAACTACTTTGTAAAACTGTTTTAGAACAGTTTTAGATTTATAGAAAAATTGCTAAGATAGCATAGAGAGTTTCTACTTTCCTCACACATGGTTTACTATTATTAACTTTTTACATTAGTTTATTTGCCATGACTATAAACCAACATGGAATTTTTTCGGTTTGTTTTTGTTTTTGTTTTGAGACAGGGTCTTGCTGTATTGCTCAGATTGGCCTGGAACTCCTGGGATCAAGTGATCCTCCACCTCAGTCTCCCTAGAAGCTGGGATTGCAGACATATGCCATTATGTCTGGTTCTTCTTTATAAGCTTTTATTAACTAAAGTCCATAGTTTTTTTAAAAAAAATTTTTTTATGGGGGAGGGTACTGGGGATTCAACTCAGGAGCACACACTTGGCCAGTGAGCCACATCTCCAGCCCTATTTTTTTTTATTTAGAAACAGGGTCTCAGTGAGTTGCTTAGCTCCTCACTCTTGTTGAAGCTGGCTTTGAACTCAAGAGCCTCCTGAGCCACTTGGATTACAGATGTGCGCTACCACATCCAGCCATAGTTTTTAATCTAATTTCTTTTTTGTGTTCCAGAATCCCATCCAAATTACCCTATTTCCTTTAGTCATCATGCCTCAACCTCTTGGTTTTAACAGCTTCTCAAATTTTCATTATTTTTTGATATTGACAGTTTGAGAAGTACTGGTCAGATATTTTGTAGAAAGGCCCTGATATTCTTTTCATGATTAGTCTTGGGTTATGGGTTTTGGTGAGGAAGACCACAGAGGAACAGTGTCATTTTCGTGTGTGTGTGTGTGTGTGTGTGTGTGTGTGTGTGTGTGTGTGTGTTGCTGGGGATCAAACCAGGACCTCTTGTGTGTGAAGTATGTGCTCTACCACTGGGCCTCACCCACAGCCTGAGGTGCTGTTTTCATCACATGCTATCAGACCATATTTTTTAAAAGGAAGTCTGCATGCATAGCCCATACTTAAGTGACTGGGAAGCTATGCTCTTGCTCTTCAAGGATGAAAAAAATCTACATAAATTATTTGAAATGCTTCCACATGGAATATTTTCCACAGTCTGTTCTTCCTCATTTATTAGTTTATTTTAATCATTTGTTTCTATCAGTATGGATGAATCAATATTTATTTTAAACTCAGGTTATAATCCAAAATGATATCTTATTTTCTTGCTCACATTGTTCCAGGTTTGGGCTCTCTGTCTCTCCAATCCTGTGTCTCTTACACACCTTCATTCAATGATGACTTTTTAGTGAGCCATTTCTCCTCAGGGGGTAAACAAAGGTATGACAGTGAATGAAGAAGTAACCAAGTATGAACAGTATGCCTCTTAAAATTTCTATCTCATGAGACTTAGGAATGAAAATCAGCATTGTCTGTTCTTACTGCTTTTTATTTGGCGTACACTAATTAAAAAAAAAAAAAAAAACCAGGGAGTAACATGGTAAACGTTAATTACAATGTGAGAATGCCAGAATACTTTTTGATGTACTCAAAACTTTTCTATGAATGCCAACAGTGCAGGATTATATGATTTGATTTTAGGTCTCATTTAAATTCCTGCAAAGACTTGATCTTTAGAAATGATATAAAAATGTTGTCCAATAAATAGGTAATTTTTCTCACAGTGAATATCTTCCAGTGGTAAAGTCACTTAAAAATATTTAGAAGACAAAATTTCTGTTCATTTTGTTCTCTGATCATTTCCTCAGTTAATAAATGGTGAAGTTATTCTGCTGGGGGCAAAAGAAATGAGAGTGAGTTGGGTGTCTTGTTGGATAGGATGTTGACAGGTGAAGGCTAAACAGAAAATATTAATTCATAATTCATCCTGAAAATACTATTATCGGCCATGTTTCATGCTTTGGGTCCAGGGAAGCCATTCTCAGCAGCCATGGCAGTAGTATTTACTGTACCTACTTTATACCAAGCAGTGGACTGGAGGCTGAAGGGATACTACTGGCACAACCCTGCTATCAAGGACTCAGTGATTATAGGAATTCTTGGTACAGGGAATGGGATAGACTAGCAAACACAAGTACAGTGCAAATGATGTGCTGTGGGGGAAGTCTAGGTGCCAGTGCAGAGCAAGACTCGTATCCTAGGGCTGGTCTGCAAAGAGAAAGGACAGGGAAGCTCAGAGTGATAGCTAAATGAAATCTTGAAGGACAGGTAGGAGAGGAAGGAAAGGGAAAGGGTGCAGAAGAAAGGAGGCACCTTAATTAAGTAAGGAAATGCATGACATTTGAAGAAACATAACAAGTCACTCAATATAGTTGGGTTATAGAGTTGCAACAGTAAAACAATGTAAACAATGAATGCAGTTTAAACATCTTTAGTAGTTATTTCAAGAAAGTATTAAGAATTCAGTGAAATTTTAATATTTTTATTTAGCCCAATATATTTAAAATCATATAATCTCAGCATATAATCAGTATGAAAAATTATTACTGATGTTTTTATAATTTTGCACTAGATTCTAGGAATCCATTGTGTGTTTTACATTTAAATCACCATCTCAATTTAGACTCTCCACTCTTCAAGTGTTAAACAACCACTTGTGACTTGTGGCTGCCATATTTTGGAAAGCATAATTCTAGAGTAATGAGATGTAAATTCACAGAGATAATATGGAATCAGATTAGATCAAACACTGTTTGTCAGGTAAATTATTTAACCCACGGGCTGTGGGAAGCTTTGGAAGTTTTATACATGACAGTAACTCAACAAGTTACTGATGGCTCTGACTTTCATTGTGGAGAGTGGATTGGACGTGAGCTTCATCAGGATCCAACTAGTTCTGCCAATAAATGATCATAACTTTAGGGGAGTGACAAGGGTGTGGTGAGATTTAAGAGTCACCAGTTCACACATGTGTAGTCCTGGCTGAGACAGGAGGATCCACTGAGCCCAGGAGTTCCAGGCCAGCCTAGGCAAAACAGCAAGACTCTGTCTCTAAAATTAAAAAGAGAGAGAGAGAGAGGGAGAGGGAGAGAAATAATTAATACAGCATAAGGAGAAATAACCTTACAGGCATTGATAGAATAAGATAAGAATGACTACCTTTCTTCTGCTCCTCTTCCTTGATGCTCCCAGGAAATATAATAAGACAATTTTGAGAACTGGGGAAAACAAGAGAAGGGTGGGAAGATGGAGAGACAATGTGATTAGTTTGGTGCATCTTAAATTGCGAGTTGCTTAGGAGACATTCAAGTGTAATGTTCATATCACAGATGTTACCTGCATAGAGATAGAAACTGAAAACATGAGATTTGCTATAGTTTCAATGTGGTTTATGCCCAAACCAAAGGTGTTAATAGTTTGTATGATGATGTTAAGAGGTGGAAGCCAGGCCTGAGGCACATGCCAATAATCCCAGCTACTTGGGAGGCTGAGGCAGGATGATCCATCTAAGTTTAAGCAACTAAGTCAGACCTTGTATCAAAATAAAGGGCTGAGGACGTAGCTTAGAGGCAAAATTATTTGCCTCACATGCACCAGGCCCTGGATTTGATCCCCAGTACTGCCAAAAATAAAATGTTTTTAAAATGCGATAGGACCTTTAAGAGGTTGGTCTACTAGTGGGTCTTTAGGTCTTTAAAGCATTAAGGTAGTTTTCATGAGACTCTGATTAGTTCTTGTGGGAGTGTTGTTATGAAAGAGCAAGACTGGCCCTGGGCCCCTCCTTGTTCTCTCTACCTCTCCAGTTCACCATGTGATCTCTTGTGTGTGCATGTGCTCTTGTCTTGATGCCATTTGTCACAGAGTAAACCAGCAAATGCAGCCCTCACCAGAGAACAAGTCAATGGGGCTGCCTGACCTTGAACTTTCAGCTTCAAACTGTGAGCTAAATAAACCTCCTTTCTTTAAAAGTTATCCAACCTCAAATATTTTGTTAGGCAATAGAAAATGGACTAATATAGGAGTGTATAAAATTTCCAAGGATGAATGTATTGAGTACGTTAGCAGTTGTTGTCCAACTTTTCTTTCCTTTATTTTATTTTTTAATGGTCCTAGAGATCAAGCGCAGGGTCTCAAGCATGCTAGGCTAGCATTCAGCTCTTTTAATCTAAATTTTAAAAAAGAATTACCTGGAAACTGATTTAAAATGCAGATTTTTGTTCCTTACTCCTCATTATGCTGGTTCAGCAAGTCTTGGAGGACAGTGGGAAACTGTACTTTTAATAAGAGCCCCTAGAGAATTTGGTGCAAGTGGTCCTTGAAGCACTCCTTTATAAACACTTGTATAGCATGATAAATAAGAGGAACCAGAAGAGGTTGTCCATGTGTACGGAAGATTGTAGAACAAAAGCTCTCTAAGAAATTAGTCAATGAGGTTTGAAAAACCAGAAGAATGCTATCTGCTATTAAAATGTGTGTGCGTGCGTGTGTGTGTGTGTGTGTGTGTGTATATGCTCACGCGCGCGCATGCGCGCGCACGCTTTACAAGATTTTTATGTAAAAGACAGCAAGGATGGAGGTGGGAGATATAAGTAGGTGTCTTACTTGGTGGGACAATCAGCATGGCAGAAGGAGACATCACCCTTTGACTACTGCCCAAGGTGTCTATCCTGGGCATGTTTTCTCAGCCCACCATCAACCACATCAAATTCCCTGAGGAGCTGAGGGAAGAAGTAGTTAACTGCCTGAAATGTAGCAGAGAAATCAAATACAATACCAGTTGAAAGCCACAGTTGGCTTTAGTAACTTAGGCTTATGGTAGCAATTTGTGTGACTGAGTAGGGATGGAAGCCCAACTTCAACAGGTGAGTTGCAAAGGGGATCAAGTAAGTGTGTAGACAATTCTTTTGAAGGATCTATGATTATGACAAGGAGGAAAGAGAAGGTTGAGCCTTATAGGGATGTTCACTTAGGAAATGCTTAGGGATGAATGCCCTCTGAGTCTGCCCACGCGATTTCATTTCTATTATGTGGGTTGATTCAATAATGTGAAACCATACTCTCATAGAATATAGTTATTAAATAATGTTATTCTATCCTTTGGAACCAGTCAAATGACGTTTAGTTATACTATCACCTCTTATACTAATTACTGGAATGGATAAACTATTGTGCAGAATAACAGTAGCTGATTACTGATGATTTGAAAGAAATGCCAAGCTGGGCCAAAGTACGGTAGGTTGGAGTTTAATGAAAGCAATAAGAAAGCAGAAAAATTCTGAAACTTTGAATTTCTCAGCCACCTCTTCTCCCTCCATCTCCTGCTTTTAGGGACCTGCGTGTTTAAATTGGTCATTTAATTTCACTCCAACCTTTATTCCCCTTTGCCAGTTTCCAGGGATTAGGACGTGGGCATCTCTGGGAGGGGAAGAGGTCATTAGTCTGTCTACCACACTAATCCTATTCTTCAGTTCCCTTCTTGCCTGTGATCATGCCACCTGCCTGCTTAAAATTCTTCAGAGGCTCTTACTGCCCTCGGGGTAGCATTCAGACTTCTTAAGATGGTACACAAAGGCCCTGTTTACCAGTCCTGTCTCATCTCTCTCAATCTCTGACACCAAAACCACACAGGACTGGTGTTGTTTCAGTTTCCTAAACTAAAAACCAAGCTTTCACCGATGTCATTTATCTGTGTGGGGAAACCCCACCCCACACCCCTTTACCTGTCTCTCCTACTCATCCTTAAAACAGAAGCCAGATGTTACTTCCTTTAGGAAGCCTACTGCTATAGACACCCATACCTATCTCTAACATAGCACTTGGCACTCTATAATTACCTCCTTAATAACCTTCCCCCCTGGATTATTTAAGAGCAATAATCTCATTTTGTTCACAGGCATCTTAACTACTTTACATATTGGCTTGCATATAGCAGAAGCACAAACTTTTGCTTGAAGATATGTCCTTGCCCTCCCTTTATACTTATCTATTTTTTCAAGGTAGACTGGCAGAGAATATAGAGTCATATGAATCTGAGGATAGAAATGTTCTTTCATTTTCTAAATGAATTTCACTTTAAATCTGCTAGAATATATTTTCCTGCACCCAATCTATTCTTCATTGATTTGCATATTTGCCCTTTATATTTACATTACTAGAATTGAAGTCATGAACATGCACCTGATTCTGCTTAATTTTTAATATAACTTTACTAATATAAACACATACTTGAACAACTGGATCAAAACACTGTGAAAGGGGGAACCTTTCAACTGGATGTATAACCAGATTGGCTAACTAAAATATTAGAATAAATATCACCCTTAGAATTGATTTAAGTTCAACAGGCTGAAAGGGAAAGTGCAAAAAAAAAAAAAAAATGTTCACAGTATAAGTATCTTGATTTTTTTTTCTTTCATTTAATATTACATTTAAAATTCCCATTGACCTGTTGACCTGGCATTTACAGACTGGGAAGCTACCAGTTTAGGGTTCCTTTAATTTTCTCTTCTTTTTTTAAAATTACCAACTTTGTCAGACAAAGTAGTACAGTTGTTCCTCAGATACTGAAGTATACACGGAAGCAAGCATATAAAGCAGGGTTTATTTAAAAAGGGATATGGGATGGTCAAAAATTGGGAATCAGGTAGTCCAGAGGGGCCAAGGTAGAGTGATCCCTGCTGGAAGGGGGTGTAATTAACAACTCCCTGTAGGGAGGGAAAATTCCTGGGAGGCGTTACCTTAACAATAGGTTGGAGCTGGGGCAGGTTGTCTAAGGGTGGAGGAAGGGCTCTGAAGGAATTAACATTTCAATTCCTCCATTCTCAGGATGGACTCTTGCCTATCTGCCTAATTCTGGCTTCACAGTTATCCTAAAAAAAAAAAAAATAGGGTGCTGCATACAGCCTCAACAGATGGGGCCTAAGAGAACAGGTTCAGGAGCCAGGCTGCCTGGGCTGGGGTCCTGGCTCTGCCATATGCTATGTGGTTACCTCAGTATTTTTATAAATAGACCTAATGATAGTCACTGCATAGCATTGTTATAAGAATAAAGTGAATTATTATATTAAAGCATTTAATAGGGCCTGACATTTTAAATGATACAATTTCATGTGTGTAGGGTGGGAAGACTGACTATGAAACATAACTGCTTAGAGAAGGCAACTGTCATAATTAGGATGAAACTTGGATATAGTGAAATCATTGGAGGCTGCAGGTGAGATCATTTATGAGAAAGAAAGCCAGCCAAGCCTGGTGGGTCTTGGACTGTTAGGCACTGCCAGAAGCCTTATTCCCCATAAACATAAGGAAGTTCCTAAAACTTCTATAAAAACACATGCTATTAAGAAGTGGTTGATGAGATTTGTGAAGATTGGAAAAAGTGGCTTATTTTATTAAGAATAAAGAGTTTTACTTAGAAATAGTAGAAGAAAAATTCAGAAATCTCTACAAATCACCCTTGTTTTGACAATTTATTTATTGCCTTCCCTAATATTTAGAGTTCCGCTGGATTCTTGCTGTGAAATTTTTTTAATAAACAAAGGTAAGCAATATTTGCTAAGAAAAAACAAGTATGTCTTGATTTTAAAAGATATTCTTGATTGTTTTCATAAATGTCAGTTGTGAAATGGGTCTCCTTATTAATTATCTTAGAAGCCCCAGGCAAGATTTGAAATTTATTATCATGTAATGAGAGTTTTAAAATGAAGTTTAAAAATAGATTTATTAATTTCAACAAGTTTAACAAACCATTTTAAAAAATAAATTTACATGGTCACTTATTACTAATTCATTCCCATGTTGACAATTTTCCTTAAATTGAAGTGTAACCATCTTAAATACTTTTCAAATTTGTAATATTAATGTAGCTATTTTCATTCCACTATTTTCTAATTCTTATGACTAAGAGTTGAGTTTTGGAAGATCGATTTCTGCTGTACTGCTAGAATTCCAAAGGATCTAAAACTGCTGCCTGAAAGCATCTAGGTCCTCATGGTTAATACTAGTGGCTGTCTGTCAAGCCTTCGGTTTTTCTTCATCTTCACATTCTGTGAGTGAACAAGGTTGACCAGAAGAAGCAGGATTGAGAGGCTGGCAATTTGTCTACAGTTTTCCTTCTTTCACTTTGCACCACACTGCCCTTAGGAATCTAGATAACCATATTTTCTTCTTTTAGAATGTCCTCTTCAGAAAAGACTTGGGGCGGGTGGGGGTGGGGTGGGGGTGGGGGTGGGGTGGTGTGTTACTCTCTTAGCAATAAAAACAACAAAGTGGCAGTAACTTTTCTCAAAGTTTCTGGTTTCAAGACCCACAAATGAAGGGCTAAACATGGAATTTCAGGCCTTGGTGAATAGTTAGGTTTGGGCATATAAGTCTTCCTGACACATGTGGACAAATGTGCCTTCTGCCTCTTGGTCTGGCTTTCTGAGTTGTTTTGTGAATGTATCTTCCTCTTTCTCTGGAGCCAGTTCATACTTTTATTTATGAAAAAACTCACCACAGTGAATTAATTGGAGGTTTTTGAGCTTCTCTGTTATTGTCTCTCTCCCAGTAGAGATGCCTCATGTTACAGACCTTTTGTTTGCATTGCTGGCTCAGGAGACTAAGAGGTCTGGCTACTTTAATGCTATCTTCATCCATGAAGATCATAAAAGTTAATTTTTCTTCTCTGGGTGGGAAGTTGCTTAAAGTTTTGTGTTATCATTTCATTTCTCCAATCTATTTTTGTCTTTGCAGATAGCGTCTGCACTAGCCTACCAATTCAGAATGACTTCACTTGACAGGCACATTAGTCAAATTTGTCTCTTACCAGGGTGGATTGGCTTATCTCTTCTAGCATCTCAAAAATGGTGGGCTCTGTGGAAGAGGATGGCCTCAGATATATAAGCCTTGCTCTTTAGAATAGGGCAGAAGGGCAACTGTGTTATTTTAGTGTAACTGCCACAGACCTCTCAAGGTTTGTTTATTACCACCTCCACCTTCACACTCCCCTGCCTTGCTGGGAATTGAATCAGAGCCTCCTACATGCTAGGCAAGAGCTCTACCACTGAGCTAGATCCCCAGCTCCATATATCTTAAGTTTAGGAAGTCTTGAGACTATGCAAAAAACAGTAAGACTGGGGAGTCCTAGTTTCTCAAAGAATCTGAAAAAGACTGCCCTAGGTATCCCACCTCCTCCTCTTGATAATGTCCTTACCTCATTAGATGTTAGACAGTGCCACAGGCCCCAAGGAACAGGAATGGGATGTACCTTTTACATTTCTCTGGCATCAGATCCAGAACTAGAGTTTCAAACTCCAGGCTGAAGTATATGGTATCTGAAAATAAATAGGTAGTTACTAACTTTAAGGTCAACATTTAGAACTTAACAGATTCCTGAAGTCTTCCTTTTCCAGCTCTTTAATACCCATTCTGGTACTTAATCTCCCACTTCGTACCCACACTATATCAGTATTATTTAGTCTTGCTTGTATTCTTGTCTAATGACCTATTAGACATAACCCTGTCTGAGCCAAACTTTTTTTGTCATGTGAAAATTTGATTTAAATTAAAGAAGAATTTACAGAGTTCTTTATTTTTGTTACGAATCTTGATTCATAAAAAGAATAATTGAATTTGAAAGGTCTGATTTCTTAGAATCAGTCATGTTCTTTATAGAATCCATTAAAGATTCTTATCTTCACTGTGGATGAAGACTATTTTTTCTTGTTAGAGGGAAAGCCACGTTTATGACATGGACTTCCTTCAGTTGCAGCTAAAGATCTAAGTATAAGATATGATTCTTAATCTCTACTGTAGCTGGTTCTTTTCTAATCCTTGGAAAGACAAAAAGGATGCTGGATTTATTTTATTAAGACTCCCAAAAAGGTTGGTCACATTTAAGATTTTAGATATGTGAAATAATATTGTGACTGAAACAGTGTGAATAAGCAAACAATGAAAGGTAAGCCATTTACACATAATTCAATATTATCTCTCTCTCTCAGATCCTGGAAATCATTTATACTGTTCTTGTAGTTCAAATGAGCTTCTTTATAAATCATATGAGGTGGCTGGGGAAAAAAAAGTCTTACCCTTTCAAGAAAGTTCTGTGATTCTAATATATTATAAATTCCCAGCAGCAGGTACTTTTGCATAAGCCTGAAAGTTGTTTTGTGAGATTCCTTTTCCTAGTAGGAAAAAGCAGTGCAATAGTTTGTAGCTTAATTACTTATGTTGTCTAATAATTTTGCTGTAAACCCTCCCCAAATCAATAGGCATATATTTAAATGAATATGAATGCTTGGGTAAGTTTATAAAAGCAGTAGGAGACATGGTCTCTATTTTCAAGTAGTTTATATAGTTTTATGCAGATGTAATATTTAAAAGTTAAAACAATTAGTAAAGAATAGCCAACAACAAATTAGAATAGGAGTCACTAAGAAGATCTGGATCCCAAGGCCTCCATCTTAGCAGGTATTATTAGCCTTTTGGTTCCTAAAATGTGGATATCTGTGGAGCCTTGAGAGGAAGGGTTGGGATACTGGTGTAGAGCATAGGGAAATCTTATTCTGAGCTGTAGCTGCTTCAGTTTTCAGTATTTGTTGTAGTATTTGTTGCAGTTGTCAGTATTTGGTCAAGGACTCAGCTGTATCTGTATGTACCAGCTGAACATTAGCTTTGTAAGTATTAAAATTAAAAAGCAGAGTAGCTGCCCTAAAATATAAGAAAAGCAAGTGCTCTATCTTGTTTGGAAAAGAAAAAAAGACATGTATATTTTAAGGGTACTTAAATGACTCTTGGAATACTTTAAAAACAATCCTCTCAACTTATCCACAGATCTGAGGATCATGGCCATTGTCTCCCACAGTAAGAGGCAATAGTGAAACTATCAGACTAATATGAGACTAACTCCTTCCTGCATACCTCAGGACTTCTCCCTTTGCCAGCAGGAGTAAGGCCCATGGAGTGGCTTCACAAAACACGAAAAAAAAGATATGAAAGAAGATATGAGATTTTTAATGCTGTGGCAGTAGGTCGGCATTAATTAGGTGCCTAATATATACAGAAAACAAATACACACACAAAAAAGAAACAACCTTCTTCACCAAGTAGCCACACTGGGTAGGTTTGGACCCCAATTTTCCTTTCTCCCTGTTTGTTCTGTAATCTTGGGCAAGTTACTTAACTTCTTGTGCCTCGGTTTCCTGAATAATTCCTACTTGATTGTTTTATGGGGATTAATACACATAAGAAGCACTTTGGAAGTACCCAACACATACTAATGCTTGCAATTATTATTAATCATGGTTATATGCATCCAGCTACATACCAATAAGACAATTCCAGAATTCACAATTAAGTAAATTATGGTTGAATACAGGTAGACTTCAACATGTGCTGGGACAGGAAACAGAGTAATGAAGCAGAGATAAAATATCCAGATCCAACTTTTGAGAAAAATGTGGGTTATTAGTTGCTTAAGATGGGGATGGGAAGCGGTGGAGAGACCATTCAAATGGGAGTTATGGCATAAAAAATGCCAAGAATAAGTGCGATGCAGGCAGCAGCCCTTGCAACTTCTTGGCTGATCAGGAGTTTTTGCTCTTGGGTGTTAAGAAACAGTACATCGATTAAGGAGTAGGAAAGACTATTTTAAAGGTTGCCAAAAGTCTCAAAATGACTCTAAATGAGTGACATGTTCTCAGGACTCAACTTTCCCTTTTAGTCTTCAAAGGCCCACAGTAAGTGCGTTTTAAACGGGCGAAGCAGGGGTAGGGTCAGCTATGAAAAACTCATTGCACTTAGCACTAAGTTCACATTTTTTGCCCTAAGAGACTGAAACAGTTACTTTCACAGAGGAGGAGGAATTAGAGAGATTTTACTTAGATAAGTATCCTAATTTATCAGTCTGACACCTTTTGGCCAAAGTGATTGCTCCAGGATCTTCCATTTCTCATTCGCCTGCCCAAGGCCTCAGGAACCGATCTGTAACACTGGGAGAAAAAGCAAGTGGTGAAGGGCACTCCACGCATGCGTTAGAAGCTGCCCCAACTCCCCCACAGTGTCCTTTCTTGGAACAAAACTAGCGCGGAGCCACGGGGCTCCGCAATTTGCGTAGACTCGAATTTCTATTGCTCTGACCATCCGTGTGGAATCCGCGAGTGGTGCAATTCCCTTACGCAGGCGGCGTTTCCGAAGTGAATGACTGGGTGGTGCGTGTACGCCCGTAGCGTAGCACCCATAGGCAGACGGGGTGCGGCTGCGCAGGGACCTGAGTGGGCCTAGTACGCTGCTAGCGTAGCGCGGCGTCTGACGCTCTGGCTTCCGCGACGCATTTAGCGCAGCCGGCTTTGATGAATACACGATTTGGTGCAGCCGGGGTTTGGTACCGAGCGGAGAGGAGATGCACACGGCACTCGAGTGTGAGGTAACTATAAAACCCCGATTTGTTTACATTCCCTCCCCCAGAACCGGCCCCATGCGCGGCGGAGGCTGCGAGTCCCGGGACGGCGTGGGGGAAAGAAAGGGAGAACAGAACCGGGGTGTCGGGGCTGGGTCCCTCGGGGATCTGGGAGCTGGGGCTCCCGCAGCGGCTGCAGTCGGCGGCGAAGGCGAGCTGGAGCAGAGCGCGCGGTGGGCAGCGCATGGGGCGCCACGGCTCCTCGTGTGCGCTCTGGGCTGCTGCGGGCCGCGGGGTCGGCGGCCGGGAAGCGTCCGCCCCGCGTGCTGGACCGGAGTCCTTCTCGGCCTCCTGTGGAGGCTGGGGTAGCCGCGCGGCCCGCGCCGCGGCGGAGGAGTGACCGCTGGGCGGGCGGCGGCGGTTAGGGGGCTGCGCGCGGGCTTCCTAGGGCCGCGGTGGCGTCGCCAGCGGAGAAGGGGACCCTGTGGCCCGAGGGTGGGAGTATCTGCAGGTTGTCTTAGGGGGACTGGGCGACGAACGCCCCCGATTCTTTCTCTGCAATCCTTCCTTCTGGTCCGAAAAGGGCTGGGCAAGGGGACCCCGGGATGGAGCGTCCGCGCCACTCTTCCGGCATCAGGGGACTAACGGACGGCGGCGTCTGAGCTTCTACTGCGGGGGCCTCGTGGGGGCTTGTTTTCTCCCCGACCAACTGAAAAACCTAGGCGGGGCGCGGGGGAGTGAAGATTTCAGCCTGTTGGGGTCCTGGGAGCTGAGCACTCGGGTGGGGCTAGGCCGTGGCGGGTGCGGAGGTGGCCTGGCGGCCGGGGCTTTGTTCCTGAAAACCCTTAAGTGGAGGGCGATGTGGGGCGCGGTTGGGGGAAACTTGAGGGGGCTCTGCTCTTCCAGCTAGGAACCTGCCAAACTCCTAGCCTCTCCCATGGGATCTTCAGAATGCCCCAGCTAAGAAGGGGGCTTTCTGAGGGCTCCGGCGACGTGACGTTGAAGGTCTTCCTGTGTCTTCTGTAAAGAAACGTTCACGTGGGAGCCTGTCCTCGTGGGCTGCCTTTAAGGAGCCGGCACGTGGAAGAAAGAGCCCAGTAGGACCCGCTGCCCTCAGTTGCAAGGGGTCCTTCACTCAAGTACCTGTTATAAGTGATGAAGAGTGACACAAAACAAGTTTAAAAGAAAAAAAAGTGAACCTATTATTTATTTTATTTGTCTTTTTCACTGTTGCATTCCAGTTCACCTTGCAACTGAGTCATCCCTGGAGCAAAAGTAGCATGTGGCAGGTTTATGTTCTGTTTTCATTTTGGATGTGTATCTAAATTGTATATGGTTAAAAAAAAAATAGCAAATAATACATTGGAAAAGCTGGAGCCTTAAGTTAATGGTAGTAATGAAATTGAAAGACTTGACTCCTGTGTACTGTTTTATATTAGGACTCCCTGTGTACAAATTGAGGACCCCACTGTGAGTCAGTCATTTTTTTCTGGTCCTTGGGAATCCGTGCCTGACGACGCACATCCTACGTGCACTGAACATTCCACTAGGGAGAGAAACGAACGATATAAATTGTGGGAGATAAATCCTGTAAAGAAAATAAAACCACGTGTTGACAGGCATTTTTAACATTCTTGTGTAGTGAAACTCAGACTAATGTGTTTTGTGTTTTGTTTTATTTTTGTGATACTAAATATTTTTGACCCCAGGGCTTGGTTCGTGTTAGGCCAGTGCTCTGCCACTGAGCAACATCCCCAGCTCAAGACTAATGGTTTTTAAATGTAATAAAATACGAAGGGTTACAACAAAAACCAATTGCATAGAAATAGTTATTGAGTTGTTAAATATTTATGATGAAGTAATTCATGTTTTAGTAAATAAATACCAACAGAAGTGGCTGATCTAATGACTAATTTGAAACTAATGGAGAACTGTAAATGATTTTTTAAAGAATGATTTTTTTTTTCCTGGATATTTCCTTTTGCTATAATTTTGCCTTCTACATGAATACTAAAGGAATGACTACATTTCAGTGATTATATTTACCCTACCCCATTTCACAAACCTGCATTCTGCCAGTGGACTCTTTGTTTAGAATCCCTGTGCAAGGATGACTTTGGTACTACGTTTTTCAAAAATGGTTAGGGAAGAGCTCTTCTGATGTGACATCAGAAATATATTGCACAATAAGCTGTGCAGGTCTAGTATCCCTTATCCAAAATGCTTGGGACCAAAAAATCTATTTAAAAAAATATTTGCACATACATAATATCTTGGGGTGGGACTCAAACCTAAACAAAATAATTTATATTTCATATGGGCCTTACACACAGCCCAAATAATTTTATATGTTTTTCTTGTATTTGCTTTTTGACTGGGACCTGTTAAACAAGAGGTGATTTGTGAATACATTGTGCCATATTAATGCTAAAAATATTCTGGATTTTCATTTTGGGGATGGTCAACCTATTTTAGGTTTTCCTGTTACCAGTTTATATTCCACTAACAGCTTCAAAGCTGACATAAATTTTCCTCATCTAAATTTTTTTTTTTTTTAGTTAAATCTTTATTTTACTTATTTACATGTGGTGCTGAGAATTGAACACCAGTGCCTCAGACATACCAGGCAGGTGCTCTACTGCTGAGCCATAGCCCAGCCCCAAATTTTCCTCATTTTTGAGCACCTGATTTGAAGTACTTTGAGGAGGCTTTGAGTTTCCTCTATGGGTACTGCTCTAGGGTTTTTTTTTTTTTTTTCCTTAGATGCTTTATGGAGAAGGTAGGATATGAATATTATAGCAATAGAAATTATTCAGCAGCTGGTATGATCATTTGCTTTTTTGTTGTTTTTTAAATAGTACTGTGCTTAGAACCCAGGGGTGCTCTGTCATTGAGTTACATCCTCTTTTTTAAATTTTGATATAGGTTCTTACTAAGTTTCCCATGCTTCCTTGCTTTTCAGTCTTCAGCCTCCCTAGTAGCTGGGGTTACAGATGTGCAACACCATACTGGTAGATCATTTGTGCTTTTTTTTTTTTTTTAAATTGGCACCAGCGATTGAACCCAGGGACGTTTCACCACTAAGCCGCATCCCAAGCCCTTTTTATTTTTTATTTTAAGACAGAATTGCTTAGGACCTTGCTAAATTGCTGATGCTGGGTTTGAACTTGAGATTCTCCTGCCTCAGCCTCCTAAGTTACTGGTATACACAGGTGTAATACCGCCTGGCTCACATTTGCTTTTAATTAAAAAAAATTTTACTTTATTCTCCCAAGTAATTGGAACAAATTTAGGGCTTTGGAGTGAGATTAAAAGTTCACAACTTGGGTCTGCTGTTAACTTGTTTGGTTTACCTTGAGTCAGTTCCCTTAATCTTATTTGTAAACTTCTAACTACTGTAAAATTTACTATGAGTTTTTTTGTGACTGTTAAATGATAAGATGATCCAAAATGCTATAAGCACTTAATTCATTTTACCTTTTCTACACAAGTGTTTCCCTATGATGATCTGTAGTTGTTGAAGGACTCCTTTCTCTTTTTCTTTTACCTTCATATGTGATAACCACCCCTCAAAATGAGATTTGATAGTTTCTTAGTGGGCCTTTGCGAGGATACAGTTATCCATCCTATTTTTTTGTCCTGTTAACTCATATGTAAGAACCATAGGATTTTTCCTCCCTTGTTTCTATTCTATAATTTCATGTGTACATTTCATATCCCCTGCCAAACTAAATTCCTTAAGCTGGGGGAGGCATACTCTAAAGCTTATAGTCACATAGTATTCATTACACATTCATTGTATGTGCAAATTGTCAAACCCTTTAATCAAGTTCAAAATGTTAATTGAAACAATTTAAATTTAGCATTAACCTAAGGGAGAAACTTTGGATTAAAATGTCAGCCTTATGTATATAGTGCTTCCCTCAAGAATGGAAATGCCATGAGTTTTGTTTTATATCAGAGGGACATTATCACTGGTGCATTTTAAACTGTGATTCACACGTTGGATGTAAAAGAAACTAAACAGAAAATGAAAGAGAAAAGTAGGCAGTCAAAACAAGTTTCTTGCATTATAACAAGTTTAATAATCTTAGGCCATATTCATTATAGTTTAATATTTTAAAAAATACACTTTAGGCAGAGAAGATGTAATTCAGTGGTGGAACTCTTATCATCTCATCACAACAAAAAAGAAAGGGAAAGAAAAAAAGTTTACATGTCCAGACTGCCAGAGTAAACCTCATGCAGTTTTATGCTGCCCCCTAGTGTTTGTTTCTCCTTAAAGTTTTCTTGAACACAATTTACAATTTCACTTACACATGTTCCCAAAATGAGATACCCTTTAAGATACCAATTACGTTTAGTATCTCATATCTAAGCTAGCTTTGGGCTTTCTTCAGCTGATTAGTATTGCTAGTAAAATGGACATAACCTTTTAAAATTGGTTAATTTTGATTACTTTTAGCCTTCTGTTTTCCGACTAGGGAACAAATTGGGTGTGGAGGTGGAACTATATAACATCACCAAATGACCTTGCAATAGTATATGTGTTTTTTTCCCAAACAGGAAGAAAGTAATGTTCATCTTTGACGTTAGCTTTGTATATGATTGATAGCAATTTTATTCATTTAATCTGGGCTGCTGCTTGTCTTGGAAATATAAAAATCTACTTTCTGGCTTACTTTAGTCCCATATATAACCTTGAATTGTTTTGACTGTACTGATAATAAAGTTTGAAAATGCCAAATTCACATCGTGAGCTTTCTAAAAATTTATTTTGAACTATGATTTATGTAGAATGATTTTTGAAAAAAAAATAGGATTTCCTATAGTCATTTATGTAAACTCAGATTATAGGTTTTAGATTATACCAGTTACCTGTATTCCAAACTATTTTTTTTCCTTTTCATCCTCTAAGTTCTGCAGGTTGGCTACACAATGACTTGTAGATTTTTCTAAACTAAATATATTTTCAAACAATAAAAATATTGGAATATTCAAAAGTATGGTTCATCAGATACGAAACAATTTACAACTGAAATGAAAAGTTTTAGATAACAGCATTACTGAAATTATTTCAGGTCAACTACTTAGGTTGTCATATCAGTATTCCGAAATAT